GTCATTTTAAAGCTATGGATCTATTCCATTATTTCTAAAAAGGTCTACATTTCTTAACAGTAATACACAGGAAAGACTTATCTTATGGTTATTGAACTCTCAATAAGCATGTAGTAAGACTCCTTCTAAGACCTCTTTATAAGATGCTTCCATTAACCTCTTTTCATTGGCTTGTCAGACTGCTTCATTTAAGTCTTAAGGAAAAAAATGCTTACACCAGCCTATTCCACATTGACGACTCGAATATATTATCTACTCATATATGAAAAAATGAAACATAATTAGAACTTCATCTGGTTACGTACAACCTCGGGTACACCTCTTAATACTCTTGTTACTCTAATGACTTAGCCACACTTCAGTAATCTTACCTCAATGTTAGAATATCATACGTGTACCACTCACCTTTATTATCACTAACCTATTAACTACTCTCCTACTCTATGTCAAGTTTATCATATCAAATCTCAAAACTAACATTAAAACCCTCATTTTTCCATTTTTTACCATGACTCTCATCTCAAATTCAAGCTTTATGTTTATTACTAATTCTGGATGTCAACATGATTGCTCTCTAGCTATTCTAACTTACAACTACTAAAAAAATTAAGAAACACAGACCTACTAAGACCTCATGAAAAATAGTTAATCTTTACCTCTTAGTCTTCATACTTATAATTTACCGCCACATTTCATTTCAACATAAGTAGTATTTATTCATTAGATATACATCATTGTCTAATTAGTTTTTTAGACCTATGAATATTATGGGTTCTCCCTTAAAAATCATAAGCCTAGATTAGACCTATCACCTCATGAATACTCTACTCTTTTATTCAACACCTATATTTGGCCTTCACTAACACAATGTTCCGTTGAAAAAAACCTTTTGATTAAAGTATATACTCTAACTGACTCATACTAGTAACTCTTACTCTACCTTCTATCATGAAATTTACACAAACTCATCACTTCTTAGTCTACCTATGGAAAACTCATCATTAATAACATACTGAGTGCATGACTACAACAACATAGTTTGCCTCATCATTATCTTTTTTTGTAATTACTATACGTTTGCATTCATTAATCTAACTTAGTCCACTTTTACTACTACTACTTATAACATTGTAACTCGTACTATCTCTTCGGGCGAAAATACAACCTATGTTCTAAAACATATCTCCTCATAAGGGTCTCAACTAAAACGAGGTTCAGGGGGAAAAGTGTGGAAATACATCTCACTTTTATCTTGAATGCAAGATGCAGATAAACTATAAGTGTATTCTTTCGAATCTCCACACTAAAGCTCACTTACAAGCTTCTCTCAAGACCCTATGAGGTCTCTTGACTTTTCTAAAGACTTTATCGAAAAGAAACTCATCCATAAGGATCCGGACTTTGATTGTCAACTACCTTGAGTATGAGGGGTAGTCAAATGGATAAGAGGAATGCATGAGTCATAGTAAGTTCTTTATGACACAGCTCTATTGCACGATTTAGAGTATGAAAGAAGAAAACTTTTCTTAAACGTCTATAATCTCTTATTTATAAAATGTTGTCCCTCACAACAATAATGAAGATCCTACTAACAAATTCATTGACACCCTAGGACACTTGAACTCTATACTATGATACCAAGTTTTTCACGACCCGAACCTATTCCCTAGACGTGACCAGCACTCAAGAACAATTGTTGATTCCTAAGTGAACCCTCATTTTGGTTGACTACAAGCAAAAGACTACTTAAGCTACAGAAGCATCAATTAAGAGAAACGTTTAAGAACGGTTTATTGAATCTAAAAATTTACTAGATATAGTGAGTATGAAATATAAGCTTTAAATAAAATATATGAAACTAAAAGACTCTCCAAAATTGTATATCTATGAAACCACTACTATTAGAAAGGACGTTGGTACAAGACCCATGACACCTCAAAACACTAAGTGGAAAGTAATTGTGAAATCTTCTAGAATACAAGGAGGCTCAACAGAGCTAACTAGAGAGTAAAGTGATCTTCTTTTGATAATAATGAACATCTAAATCTGCATCATAAAAGGATGCAAGTCGAATGACATCAGTACATGAAATGTATGGGTATGTAATTTGGCTAAGTAAACAAAGAACGAAACTAAATGACAGAAAGCAACTCAACTGGATGAATACATAAACATAAATTGAAAACCATTTAAGCATTACAATAAAATATACAATGAAAGAAACATGAAAATAATATACTTTTCTTGTGGGAAGTTTCTCTAACTCACATCCATTACCATGATCCTAGAAATGATACAACGTTTTGCTTCATGTTGTAAGGGTCATCTAATACTTTGTCGGGATATAGAATGATATTGTGACTATGGATCCATCTAATTATCCTTCTTAGAAACGGAGGAGTCGCATGAAGAATCAAAATGTTATCCTGTCCTACGCTAGCTATGTAGTTCAATGGGATTTCAAAATCATAAAATACTCTAATCCAACTCGGTGCTCAATATTACTCCTAAAATAGTTAATATAAATTTATGCTCAATTCACCCATTACAGAGTAATCGACTTATTACATTACTTGAAATACTTTTCTAAACATGAGACTTGTTTACCTTCTTGAAAATATGCACTTATGAGCTTATTTTTGAAGTCCAATAATTAACATAGGTACATATGTATATATATATTAATAAAATAACATTAAAAACTCTTAAATATTTATGAAATAGAACCTTTAAACTTTTTCTCAAAACTTATATTTACTTCCTCAGAAACTCAAGTGTTGGCTTTGAAAAAACTTCTCAAGATTTATAAACTTTGTACTCAATTCCATTACAAATAATGGACTTGTTACATTACTTGAAATACTTTTCTAAACATGATATCTTGTTTATGTCATGCCCAAGCCTATACCCTGGTTGGGACCAGCACTAGAAGACAATTGTTGGCCCTCAAGCGAACCCTTGGCCTAGCTACTTAAATTAGATGAAAACAACCCTCAACTTTGACACGAGTAAAAACATAATAAAAGGAAAATACGTCATGTCATAATATTGTCCAAACTGGCACTTGAGTCTTAATAACTGAAAAAAATCCAAACTAAAATTCTATAGACTACGAAGCCTATAAACTATCTAGAGAGGGATGTTGGGACAGACCCCACAACATTCTAGAAGCTAAGCTAATACAGAAAATGATAAAGGATGTCCTCCAGAATGCAAGGAGGCTCACCACAACTCTAATGCTCAATATTGAATCAATGAAGCGTTACGTGATAATCTTGGGTACCTGCGTCTGCATCATGAAATGATGCAGGCCAACTGGCATCAGTACACTGAATGTACGAGTATGCGAGTTGGAGATCTAAGAAATGACTTAAGCTTGAGGAATTAGATGAACTTACCTTGGTTATTTAACTCACAAATATACTTAACTCAAATGATATGCATATAAAGTAGTTTAAATCACATGCAATATGCATATATATATATATATATATATATATATATATATATATATATATATATATATATGTATGTGTGTGTGTATAAAGCTCATAAAACAGTGAAAACAACTTAGCTCATTAAATGAAATGCAATAACAAACTCAACTTTACTTATATAAGAAATTAATATCGCCACTGTGGGAGTTTCTCTAACCGAAAACCATCACTATGAGTCTAAGTGATGATACAACATCGTACCTCACGTTTCAATAGGACCATCCCACACATTGCCATTGGTATAGGACCTTACTCAACTTAGTGGATCCACTAGCTCTCTTACGTGATCATCTAAAAAGTATGACACGTCAATTCCCATGTTAGCGAAATGGCTTACATGGAGACTTAAGTTAGTATGAACTCACATCTCCAGATCAGTGCTCAATACTACTCCCAAGTACTTTAGCTCATACTTTTAATAAGACTTCCTTCCTTTGGGTTGAGATAATTTACTGAATCCATTTGATTTAAAAAGCTCCTTATGGAAATCAATGTTCCTCTTTTTAGTTCAAAACTCTTTTTGGAAAATCTCTTTCCCCTCTTTACTCAAATGTGAAATATTTTTTAACCTCTAGGGAATACTTAGTTCCTTTATATCTTTTAAAGAAATGAACTCAACTCTTGCTCTTTACTTGAATTGAAACTTTAACTCTTAGGGAATACTTAGTTCTCTTATTGATTTTGACAAATGAACTCAACTCTTGCTCTTTACATAACTTGAAACTTTAAGTCTTTGCTTGACTTGAATTTTAAGTCTTTAAAACAAAGTGAAAACATTTGTGGAAGACTTTAGAAACTTTAGTTTTACTTTTTTCTTAACTTCTAAACTGGGCTCTTAACTTTTTTGACTTTAGAAACTTTAGTTTTACTTGTTTCTTAAATTCTAGACTTGGCTCTTAACTTTTTTGACTGTGACCTTACTTTCCTTGAGTTGAACTATGTTTATGGATGATTTCATGAAGTTTAGATATACCTTAAGAGTGTTGGAAACATCTAGGAATGAATGGTACATCACTTAGGAACTAGTATGAAAAGATAGGGGAAGAACGGGGTCTCCAGGGTGTCCTTGTGCTCTAAGAGGCGCGGAACGCCATACCCGAACGTACAAAGGCTGTGCGCGGGCGCTCTGAGAGGCACGGCCCACTAGATCCTGACGGACAGACTCTGTCCTAAGGGGCTTTGGAGACGCGGCGCACTAAATCCCCCCAACGGGTTTTCCGACTTTCTTCATTTTTTTTCATTTCTAAACCTTCCAAAACTCCCATGGATCCCACCCCCAAACACTTAGCATCCCTAATTAACTTGTTTCACAATGATTTAGACCCGAAAACAATCCTAAAACATGTATTATAACTAACAGCGATCAACAACAATCCAATCAACAAGAACGTCAAATTTTCTTTCAAGATTCCAACCTCTAACATGAGTTAATTCATGAACTTGACTGATTTGAATGAAATTGGTGTGTGGGTGAAGTATTCCAACATAGAAGAGCCCACATACCTTGTTAGGAATCACCCCAAACGAAGATTCACGAAGCTAAACTTGGCGTTCTTGCGTCTTCTTCTTCATTCTCCTCTTTTCTTCTTACTTTCAAAACCCTAGTTAATGTTTTGTAAGTGCGTAAACTGAATGAGAATAGTTTAGACCCCAACATATTACTCCAAAACGAAATAATTAATTTCCTTAAGGATAAGAAAAAAACACATTTACTAAATCCATTTTTCAAAACTTTCACTACTTAACATCCCATCTTACGAAGGTCATATCTCACTCATACTACCTTGGCGCTGTTGGGATGATATTTTAACGAGCTTTCCATCCATATAAAGAACTCATCCAAATTCTTCCTGAGCTGGGAGTTATGGCCTTTTGAAAATGACCAAAACTTACTTTTGAAATCTAGAAATTTTTCATATTTCTTTACTTATTTCCATATTTAATTATTCTTGTTTTTTCTTAGCTTAACTTTAGTTTATCTAGAATCTGAGATGTTACAGTTTACCTTCTTGAATACATGCACTTATAAACTTTTTTTTAAAGTCCAATAATTAACATAGGTACATATGTATATGTATATATATGAATAAAATAACATTAGAAACTCTTAAAATATTCATGAAATAGAACTTTTAAACTTTTTCTCAAAACTCATATTTACTTCCTTAGAAACTCAAATGTTGGCTTTGAAAGAACTTCTCAAGATTTATATCTCAAATATAGTTCATGTTGAATTATAGTCATTAAAAATAACCTCAAAGATCTCAATAACAATAAATAAACTCAATACTTAGGAATAGAATCTCAAAAGAATCAAGAATTCAAAAACTTAAAATTAGCTTAGCTCAAGAATAATCAAATCTAAGGGTAGGATCCTAGTTTTCACTTTTACTGATTTGAAAGTAGATGTATGGCTTGAGGACGAACTAGTCCAACACTATGATAGCCTTACAGACGTGAAGAACAAGTTTTTTGAAGAATCATGAAAAAAAATTGATAGAAGCCTTGAAACCCTTGCTTGAAGGAGAACAATCAAGAAAGCCTTTCTTGAAATTTTTGAATTAGTTTTTTGAAAAATCTATTACCAATAATTATGATTTTAATTAGTGGTTCATAGTTACATGGAGGAATTTGAGTTGGAAATAGTGAAATTCATGGAGAAGTACTTACCTTGAAGAATAATCTTGAAAAAGATTGAAAGAATTAGAATAGAGAGTCTTCTACTTTGATTTTTCCTAAAGGTTTTTCCATATAGTTTTAGAGAGAACAGAATAATGGATTAGAAGATGAAAGATTTTGAGTCTTTTATTCACTACAACACCATCTATTTTTAGCTATAAAATTTAAGCTGCAAATTCAAATATTGTGGCTATTGTTTAGTAACAGCTACAAAAGTTTTAATTTTATAGCAATTTAAAATTTCGTAAATTTCCTTAGCCACAAAAATTAGTTTGAAAAAGTTAAATCCTCATTTTTGTTACAATTGCTAATAAATGTGGCAATAATTATATCAATAGCTACAACTTTATAGCTACAATTCAAATTTGTAGCTGGTTAACATTTTTTAAATGGTATAGCCATAAGTATTTTGCTATAATAAAATTATATAGCTAGTTATTAATTTCTGCCACCAGTTGAAACTTACCATAGCAATAATAACCTTTTAGCCATATTAAATAAGCAAAATAAATTACTATATCTAAATAAATATTTTTGCTTCGAGTTGTTAAACAATGTGGCAAAAGGTAATGATAGAGTTATAGATTTATTGCTTTAATAAAATTTGGTAGCTAATTCTTTTGGTGTTAGATATTGAACTTTTTTGGTATTAATGACATTTATTTTATCAAATCAAATTTAATTAAATAAAATATTACGGCTAAGTAAATCTTTTTGTTGCGTACTAAAAAGTGATGACAATAATTGGTTGACTACCTATAATTATTTGTTATGACGAGATGATATAGCCACAAGTATATCATTGTGTTAAAATTTTGTAGCTTATAATTATTTTTTACCATGGGTTAAAATTGTTGAAGCAATAATAATTTTTAACAACGTCAAAATATACTTTTCTTGCATCTAAATATAACTAGAGTTATTAATCATTCAATTCAATTTTGCACCGTCTTACTTGTAAGTTTCAAATATAGTTCAAATAAAGAGGTAATTATATTTTATTGATTTTAATTAATTAGTCATATAAATTTAAACAAAACTTCACCAAGTCTCAACGTAAACTTCATCTTGATCAAGTTCTTCCATAATTATTATTTGTCTGAAACGTTCTTCATCGAAGTAATACATTTATCTATCATTTTTTTCGAGAATTTTTCTGCGTAATCAATTTTGTTAATCATATCGTTTGATTCAATTCAATTTTACAATGGCTAGCTTAAATATATAATGATAACTTAAATAAATATATGATTATATTAACTTCAATTAACTAATTATATCAAATTTAAACAAAACTTTAATAAGTCACAATTAAGTTTCATCCTAGTCAATTGTTCGGAGATGTCACGATCCAAAAATGAGTGTGATGGCACTTATCTTATCCCACCATGACAAGTTAGCCAAACCCAATAATTTTAATAAAATACGGAAATAACACCACAGTCTGATAACAATTACTAATACGAAAACAATTCAACTTAATTCAATCCCCAAAACCTGGTTCTCACATGCACAAGCCTCTAATGTAAATACTAGAATTGAAGTAAAAATACGGGTCTTAAATGAAGTTGTCCTTTAAGTAAAAACAAAGTCATAGATTGGAGAAGGAAAGTTAGCAGAGATGACAAGTAGCTATCTCACAATCCTCCACAAGATGCCTCGGAAACGAAGAGAATGGAAGGTATCATGAAGAGTCAGGCTCGTAACCTACAAAAATTTGTAAAAGCAAGGGGTGAGTACCAAACCACGCAGTACCCAAACATGCAAACCTCTAAACACAAGTTAAGTGAACAAAATACACGTACTCCTAACACCCTATCTAAACCTCCATGCTACAGCCTAACAGTTCACAGTTTACCAAACACACAACTCAATAATCACACTCTATCATTTTACATATTCTCAATAACAACTCAATATTCAACAGTCACAAGTTTCACAGAAAAACAATCACAATATTCGCAAAACACGTGTTCAAGTTCATCAATAATAAAAATGTGTAATGTCATGAGATGCTATGTAAAGTATAGTGATGCATCTCTTTTCTAATGATACACACCCGTTGTGTCTCGGTCTGGGACCCATGGGGGACATATCTTTCCATGAATCTGTCGTGGCGTGCGATACGATACTCGATAGTAACCATCGCAGCGCGCGATATGTCCCTCGAAATATAATAAATATCGTGGCGCGTGATCGACCCTTGAAATGGTACATCCTCTTATCACATAATACTTATCAAAGACATGTGTTATATGCAATGCAAATGACATGTTCAGACAAATCATGAGGAAATAACCATTTGGTAAAAAAAACAATTCATAACATCAACAAATACGCAATAAGACTCCAAATAATTCCCAAACATCATAAAAAAAGAAATACACGAATTTATACACTTAACAAGGATTTAGAAATTCACTTGCCTTAGCCAATTGAATAATCATTCTGGGACTTGAACCTTCCCTTTTCGTTGAACTTTCGAACTGATGCAATCTATTCAAGTATGTATTCACAATAAGGTCTTGAAGCTAACAACACCCACATATCTATCATATTTATAATTCTTGATGTCAATTATTATTTCAACTTTCATATTTTTCAAGTTCCAAGTCTAGGATTAAATCTCAATTTTCTAATATCATAATTCAAATAGTATTCTTATGATACGATAAATTTAATATTTAATTACCTATCCAAATATACCACACTTAACTCATAATGTGCTAATAATAAAAATTTAAGCTGACACATGACTAATCATTCACAGAAAGAGCACTACCTCTGAACCTCAAAAATTCGTACCCCCCACTAGATATACTCCTCATAATTTCTAATTACTGTATGACAATCATAAATTCATAATTAGTCATAATAAATTCCCAGGGACCCACGAGCACAAGTCACCATGGCTTAAATAATTTAATCCCTTTTAGAAAAGTATTTTGTCTTTTCTTATTTCCTTTTCTTTTTTTATTTTTTTTCAATTAACATTTGATTCATAACACGTTAAGAAAAATAGAATTAAAAATGCATAAAATTATAATTGGTACCACAAAACCTACATAACTTACAAGCATAATGTATACACATTCTTAATTCTTAACACTAGAAAAGAAGGAATGATATACAAAATAATAAACTTTTTTAAAAAAATAAAACTCCTCAAAATTTACAACATTAATTTTGTCATCATTTACTTTAATGGTCTTAGAAGCTTTGAAACACTCACTAACAAAATAAAACAAAAAAAATAGAAAATTTAAGAATATTAGTTCATGTTTAATGACAAATCTTGGAGCAACTAAACATAAATTAAATCAATTAATGTCAAGTATAATTTGTCAGCATTCATAGGAACCCAAATTAGTTTTGCACTCATTATTACTTCAAATTTGCCTCTTTATGATTAAATGTCGGCCAAATAAGATGATGAGACTATTTTGTCTCTTTTCTAAAAAAAAAGAATAATTTCCAGCAATATCCTTAACAATAACATAAACTATGATATGTATAAATTTTACGAAGAATCTTGATTTGAACTTACATGAACCACTCGAATTTTCTCGCTTCTTTGTTTTCTGCCGCACGTCTAGGTCAGTTTTTCATCCTCCTCTTTCGTCTTCTTCTTCTTCTTTTTTATAATTCAATTATGTATTAATAGGAATAATCGCTACCATCCTATTTTAATAATTCAGACTTGATCCATTATTATTCAAAATAACCAAACTACATGCAAATCAATTAACAAAAGTTAAATATCTATTAAAAATTATCAAAAATGACCTTTCAAGTCCAGGTCATTACATTATCCACCACTAAAAACAATGTTCGTCAACGAACATAAGGTAAGAGAAAATACCTGGAGCATCAAGAAGATGAGGATATCTTGCACGCATATCAGACTCCATCTCCCAAGTTGCCTCTCCTATTGAACGATGCTTCCAATGCACCTTCACTGAAGCAATCTCCTTAGTCCTAAGTTTTTGGATCTCCCTATTTAGTATAGCTATAGGCTCCTCCTCATATATCAAGTCTTGACCCAGCTCCACAGAATCGAGCGAAAGTACATGAGATTAATCCGGAATATACTTTCGAAGCATGGAGACATGGAAAACAGGATGAACTGCCGACAAACTAGGAGGTAAGGCCAACTTATAGGTCATTTCTCCTACTCGGCTCAAAATCTCAAAAGGTCCAATGAATCTAGGTCTAAGCTTTCCCTTCTTTCCGAACCTCATCACACCCTTCATGGGTGATACTCAGAGCCAAACATGATCACCCTCTATAAACACTAAGACTCTAACTCTCCAGTCTGCATAACTCTTCTGTCGACTCTGGGTTGTCAATAGTCCATAGTGAATCATACGACTTGCTCTATAGCATCTCTAAGCAAGTCGGTATCCAAAGAGTCCATGTTCACCGACTTAAACAAACCAATAGGAGGCCTACACCGTCTGCCATACAATGCCTCAAATGGGACCATTTGGATATTAGCTTGATAACTGCTATTGTAGGAAAAATCTGCTAAGGGTAAATGTCGACCCCGTCTAGCACTGGAATTGATCATACACGCTCCAAGCATGTCTTCTTGACACTTGAATCGTCCTCTAAGACTGACCATTTGTCTGAGGGTGAAAGGATGTACTCATACCTAACTGAGTACCCTGACCATGTTGTAATGCCTTCCAAAAGGGAGAACTAAATAGTGAACCTCGATTTGATATGATAGAAATAGGAACTCCATGTAGTCGCACAATCTGACTGATATATATAGCTCCACTAACTTTTCTGTCGTATACTGCAACCAAACCGGAATGAAGTGGTTACACTTGGTCAGCCTATCAACAACAACCCAAATGGAGTCATAACCACCCACTTTGGTAGGAAAACCCACAAAAAAGTCCATATTAATCCTCTCCCACTTCCACGTAGGTATAGGCATCCTTTGAGATACACCCCCGGGCCACTAGTGCTCACATTTGACCTGCTGGCACGTCAAACACCTCGAAACAAAGTTTGAAATATCCCTGTTCATCCCACACCACCATTAACGCTGACTCATACCATGATACATCTTTGTCGCTCCCGGATGGATGGAATATCGAGAATAATGGGCCTCCTCAAGAATCAATTTAATCAAATCA